GGTGGGTCCCACAGCGGGCACCTGGACGTCTTCAAGGTCAAACGACTGTTCTTTCTAATTTGCTTTCATTCTGTTTTGAAAAGCAGAGAGCCCTTGCATCGGCTGCCTCACTCCCTAAGTGCCTGTGACAGCCAGGGCTGGGCCAAGCCGAATCCAGGAGCCCGGAACACAGGTCTTCTGTGGAGCAGGTGTGGACCCAAGAACCTGAGCTGTCCGTCCTCTGCTGCCTTCCCAGGGTGTGTGTGGGCAGGAAGCCAGGACAGACCGGGCACTGTGAAATAGGTGTAGGATGTGCCTAGTGTGACTGAACTGCTGCACCGGATGCCTCCAGACCTACTCTGGCCCAGCACAGGCACGCCTGCCAGTCTGTCCCTGCTGGACCCTATTTTAAGATTTATTTAGAGTTGACGCTGTGGCGCAGCAGGTTAAAGCCCCAGCTTACAGTGCCAGCGTCCCCATATGGGCGCCAGTTCGAGTCCTGGCTGCTCCACTTCTGATCCAGCTCTCTGCTATGGCCTGGGAAAGCAGTGGAAGATGGCCCAAGTGCTTGGGCCCCTGCACCCACGTGGGCCACCCGGAAGGAGCTGCTGGCCAGTGATTAAAAGATTATTCTCTGTCTCTGTCACTCTGCCTTTCAAATAAATAAATAAATCTTTTAAAAAGAAATGCTGGTGTAAGTCGGACACTACATGGAAGTCGGAAAACAAAGACTAAGCCTGTGGCTCAGACTTTGTCCTTTCTCTCTCTACACACGCACACGCTGGCGTGCCCGAGGTGCACTCTGGAGGCGAGCTGTAATCACAACTGGAAAGTGCTCTACATCTCTCCCGAATTCCTACAGCTGCTCTTCAGGGCAAGGCTGGACATTTCCTGATAAGGTGTGAGCAGCCCTTTGTACCCGTTTGAGCCCTGCTCCAGTGTTACAGGAAGTTACAGGAACTACATGGAAACGTGCTTATCACTCATTAGCAGATAAGGCGAACCAGGCAGCTTGTCACCAGAGACGACAGGAGAAATGCCAGCTGAAACAGGGCAAGCGTTTGTTCTTGGTGGAGGAGGACAAACACCTATGAATGCTACCACTGCACGGTGGCCAACTCCAGCCTGCAGACGTGTGGTGGAGGAAGGATTTTATTTCCCCTACAGGAATTTTATTTCCCCTACAGGAATACGTGATTCTTTTTTTGTTTTGTTTTTAAAATTTATTTTATGTTTTTGAGATTTAGAATTACAAGACAGAGAGGTCTTCCACCTGCTGGTTCATTCCCCAAATGGTCATAACAGCCAGAGCTGGACTGATCTGAAGTCAGGAGCTTCTTCTAGGTCTCCCATGTGGGTGCAGGGACCCAAGCACTTGAGCCATCTTCTGCTGTTTCCCAGGTGCATTGGCAGGGAGCTGGATTGGAAGTGGTGCGTATGGCATGCCGGTGCTACAGGTGGAGGCTTAACCCACAATGCCACAGCACCAGCCCTGCAGTAAGAGATTGTGTAACCGGAAGTTTTTTGTTTTTTGTTTTTGTTTTTGACAGGCAGACTTTAGACAGGGAGAGAAAGAGAGAGAGAAAGGTCTTCCTTCTGTTGGTTCACTCCCCAAATGGTCACTACGGCCGGCGCGCTGTGCTGATCCGAAGCCAGGAGCCAGGTGCTTCCCCTGGTCTCCCATGGGGTGCAGGGCCTAAGCACTTGGGCCATCCTCCACTGCCTTCCCGGGCCACAGCAGAGAGCTGGCCTGGAAGAGGGGCAACCAGGACAGAATCTGGCGCCCCAACTGGGACTAGAACCTGGTGTGCCAGCGCCGCAGGTGGAGGATTAGCCAAGTGAGCCGCAGCACCAGCCTATAGGAAGTCTTGTGCAGTGTTCAGCACTTGGAAATGTGTGGCGGGCGGCACACATCTGAGTGACATATTTTCTGGCGTGGATTGTTGGGAGGGCCGACAGTAGCCCCCTCAGCCCCAACTGCTACACTCCAGGATGCTGTAGGAGTCCAGCAGTGTGTGGATTTTGTTCCAAAAAGAGTAGACGCAGCATCTCATGACCAGAGCGAGGGTTACATCTTCATTGCATGCTGTGTCCTGGCCACACTCCTCGAAGATGCAGATGGAGGTTGCATGGAATTCCACCTGCATCCGGGAACTCCTGTAGCAACTTCTTGTGCTCTTTTCAGATTTTTAAGCTCCCATTTTTGCAAAAAGAATGCTTTTAGGGAGCCGACGCTGTGGTACAGTAGGTTAAGCCTCTGCCTGCAGTGCCTGCATCCTATATGGGCGCCAGTCCTGCCTACTGCACTTCCGATCCAGCTCTCTGCTGTGGCCTGGGAAAGCAGTGGAAGATGGGCCAGGTGCTTGGGATCCTGCACCCATGTGGGAGACCCAAAAGAAGCTCCTGGCTCCTGGCTTTGGACCAGCCCAGCTCCAGCCATTGCAGCCATTTGGGGAGTGAACCAGCGGATGGAAGACTTGTCTCTCCTCTTTCTGTAACTCTGCCTTCAAATAAATAAAAATAAATCTTTTAAAAAATGCTGTTACAAGTCGAACAGTACCAATGATTTTTCATAGGGGACCAAGGTCAAGTTAAAACAAGCTTGTGCCTGCAGCTTTTTCTGGGTTTCCCTTTCAAATTGCATCTAGGCCGGTGCCGCAGCTCACTAGGCTAATCCTCCGCCTTGCGGCGCCGGCACACCGGGTTGTAGTCCCGGTCGGGGTGCCGGATTCTGTCCCGGTTGCCCCTCTTCCAGGCCAGCTCTCTGCTGTGGCCAGAGAGTGCAGTAGAGGATGGCCCAAGTGCTTGGGCCCTGCACCCCATGGGAGACCAGGATAGGTACCTGGCTCCTGCCATCGGATCAGCGCGGTGCACTGGCCGCAGCGCGCCGGCCACGGCGGCCATTGGAGGGTGAACCAACGGCAAAGGAAGACCTTTCTCTCTGTCTGTCTCTCTCACTGTCCGCTCTGTCTGTCACACACACAAAAAATAAATAAACAAATTGCATCTAAGCAACATGCAAGTATTTATTAACCTGGTCATCACTTAACTCCGTGCTGTCAGCTTGTTCCTTGGTGAAGCAGCTTGTCCTCACGCTCCTAAATATCCTTTCTTGGGAGCATTTCTTTCTGTTTCACTTAAAAAAATTCTTAGAAAACAGAAAGGTGGGGACAGGAGTCCCCCAAAACCGGTTTGCTGCTGCCAGGTCTGCAGTTCCGGATCTTCTCGTCCCTGCTCATGTCCATCCTGTCTCATCTCGGATTGTCACAGACCGCTCACTGCCAGGAAATGGCTGATTTCTCCCGGGAGTGGCCAGATGCCAAGCAGCAGAGGGTAGAAGCCGGGATTCTGTGGCACACAAGGGCACGGCCGCGCAGCTGGTAGTAGGACTTGTTCTCCCCAGGTAGAGGGCTGATGAGCCTGGCTCCTTCAGGTCCCTCTGTGTATGTCTCTCCTACGATGTGTGATTTTTGTATTTAGGCCAGCTGGGGTGTTTTGAGGGCCAGGTGCTTGGCAGAGCGGCCTGCGTGTACGTGTTAGTGTGCTTTCACTATTTCTGTTGGGAGCCAGGAGCCGGGAGCTTCTTCCGGGTCTCCCACGTGGGTGCAGGGGCCCACGGACCTGGGCCATCTTCTGCTTTCCCAGGCCACAGCAGAGAGCTGGATTGGAAGTGGAGAGACTGGGACTTGAACTGGTGCCCACATGGGATGCCGGCGCAACAGAGGCAGGAAGGAAGTGCACCCTGTCTGCTACAGCAAGAGAACATGAGTCTGCTCCGCTCACGGGACAGACAAGCCTCCTTAGGAACCACGGCGCCTGTCCGCCTGGTCATCCAAGCCCCAGTGAGGGCTTGTGCGGAACTGGACGGGCCGCTCCAGAAGACGAGAAAACGACCCCCACAGGGAGTCAGATGCGCTACCGTGGGGGTGCTCGAGGCATCGGTGTAGGGACAGACAGACAGCAAGTGGGACAGACAGAGACCTGGGCACAGATCCGAGCCTCCCATGTGGCGGTCTCCTTCTGCCAAGTCCATGGGCCCCTACGGCATCTTGGGCTGCAGAACACCCCGCCCCCGAAATGAGAGTCTGAAACAATAGACCGCGCTCCCAAACCTGCCACTTGGACGGGGCTCTGCAGGGAAGGCTCCTCTCTGCCCCCTTTGCGTGGGAGCCGGGTCAGGTTGAAGTCTGGCAGCTGGGATCAGCTAAAGGTCCCTTCACTTCCGACTCACGGAGGACTGGGCAGGTGGGTCTGCAGGGACTGCGGCCGTCCGGCTCTGGGTCTCCGCTTGACCACCGCACAGGGACTCTTCTCTGGGCAGCTGCAGGGCAGCCAGGCTTTGCACAGGTCAGCTGGTGCTCCAGGCCAGGGACGCCACTGACGCGGCCAGCAGGCGGAAGCAGCCCTGCACACACACACTGATACTTCATAAACTATGGGAACTGGAGCTGGAAGTGTATGTTGGTCCCGAAATTGTGGAAATCAAAACAGAGAGAGAAAATGCACATCATGAAAAATGGTGGATGTCACAGCTTTTGGGGCACCAAAAAAATCGTGTCTTTAAAAATATATATATTCACTTATTTAAAAGGCAGAATTATAGGGGGTGGGGGGTCTTCCATCCCCTGGTTCACTCCCCAAATGGCTGCAGTGGCCGGGGCTGGGCTGATCTGAAACCAGGAGCCAGGAGATTCTTCTGGGTCTCCCACGTGGGTAGCAGGGGCCCAAGCACTTGGGCCATCTTCTACTGCTTTCCCAGGCCACAGCAGAGAGCTGGCTCGGAAGTGGAGCAGCCGGGACTCGAACTAACGGCCCCAAGCGCTGTGGGCGGAGAAGACGGCCCACACCCTTGAAGCGTAGGCCGTCCCCGGCGGTGTCGAGGCGCCCCCTCCCGACCGCGCGTGGCGGTGGGCGGGGCTGCCTGGACGCCGCCGCCGCCGCCGCCGCCGAGGCCCCGCCCTCTGGTGGGCGGTGTCGAGGGGAAGGCTTTCCGGGCTCCTCCCCTCGGGCAGTGATTGGTCGGCGCCGTGCGTACGCGGTGACGTCGTGCCTGCGCGGGAAGTTTCCGAGAGGAGCGCGGGACCCGAGGCTCCCCAGGACGCGCGCCTTCTCGCTTCCCGGAGCCGCTGCTTCACGGGCCGTGCCACCGACCGTTCCCGGGCGCGCTTCCGCCTGCCAGGTCTGCGAGGGGGACCCCGGGGGCGGGTGGGGGAGGGGCGCCGCCGTGCGTGCCCCCGGCCTCCGACCGCCGAGGGATCCGGCTGTGGCAGGGCCGCGGCGTGCAGGCTCCAGGGGGGCGGTCGCGGGGCGCCGGCCGGGACCCATTGCGGGCGCCGGGTTTGGACTCGCGCAGGCCATGACGGAGGAGCTGGATGTGCTGGGACACGACTCGGACGGGGGTAGTGACGAGGTGATCCTGACTCCCGCCGAGCTCATCGAGAGACTGGAGCAGGTGAGCGTCTCCAGCCTTGGCGCCGCCCACTTGTGTGTGTGTGTGTGTGTGTGTGTGTGTGTTTGTAGTGCAGATGTCAGGGTTAGAAAGTGGAATTCAAGCAGAGGCTGGATCTGATGACTTAAACGGGGAGGGGGTGGGGTCGGGGGCGGACGTCCCTTAGAAGCCTCGTAAGATCGGACTCAATCTTCCGTGGGGTGGGACAGGGACAGCTTTGAGTAGAGCCGTTCACTCAGCAAGGATCCAGTTGGTGTCTGAGAGACTGAGGTGTGGCCAAGACTTGTAGGCTCCTTTCTTTTTTTTTTTTTTTTTTAAGATTCATTTACCTGAAAGTCAGAGAGAGAGGTCTTCCATCTGCTGGTTCACTCCCCAATAGGCCACAATGGCCAGAGCTGCGCTGATCCAAAGCCAGGAGCCAGGAGCTTCTCCCAGGTCTCCCATGCAGGTGCAGGGGCCCAAGCACTTGGGCCATCTTCCACTGCTTTCCCAGGCTATAGCAGAGAACTGGATCGGAAGAGGAGCAGCTGGGTCTCAAACCAGTGTCCATATGGGATGCTGGCCTTGCAGGCAGTGGCTTTACCCCTTATGCCACAGCGCTGGCCCCGACTTGTAGAATCTTTAAGATTGATTTATTTGAAAGGCAGAGTTACAGAGAGAATGGGAGATGCAAAGAGAGACCTTCTATCTGCTGGTTCACTCCACTAATGGCTCTAGGGCTGGGACTGGACCAGGCTGAAGGCAGGAGCAGAACTCCATCTGGGTGTCCTACGTGGGTGGCAGGGCTCCAAGCGCTTGGGTCATCATCTTCTACTTCCCAGCTCATTAGCAGGGAGCGGGATCAGAAGTGGAGCAGCTGGGACTCGAACCGGTGCTCGTGGGATGCTGACGTCACAGGCAGTAGCTTAACCCACTGTGCCACAACACAGGCCCCAGCGTCACATACCTTAGTTCTTTGAAACAACAGGGAGTTTCAAAAGGTTCGTGGGAAATGAAATTACAAGATTTCATTGGTGCAAAAAAAAAAAAAAAAAATCTGAAATCCATGCATACAAAAGATCCTCTAAAAAGTTCATGAAAAATGGGGATGGTGAAAAACAGTACATGCATTTCAAAGCTTTTTTGCACCAAAATAAACATCTTTTAATTCTATTCTCCATAAACTTTTTTTTTTTAAGATTTATTTATTGGGGCCAGTGCTGTGGCATAGCAGGGTAAAGCCGCCGCCTGCAGTACCAGCATCCCATTGGGGCGCCGGTTCGAGTCCCAGCTGCTCCACTTCTGATCCAGCTCTCTGCTATGGCCTGGGAAAGCAGTGGAAGATGGCCCAAGTCCTTGGGCCCCTGCACCTGCATGGGAGACCCGGAAGAAGCTCCTGGCTCCTGGCTTCGGATCAGCCCAGCTCCAGCCGTTGCAGCCATTTGGGAAGTGAACCAGCAGATGGAAGACCTCTCTCTGTCTCTCCTTCTCTCTCTGTGTAACCCCAACTTTCAAATAAATAAATAAATCTTTAAGAAGAGAGATTTACTTACTTGAGAGGCAGAGTTACAGACAGAGAGAGGTTTTCCATCTGCCAGTTCACTCCCCAAATGGTTGCAACAGCCAAAGCTGAGCTGATCTGAAGCTAGGAGCTGCTTCTGGTTGTCCAGGGGCCAAGGACTTGAGCCATCTTCCACTGCTTTCCCAGGCCATCAACAGGGAGCTGAATTGGAAGTGGAGCAGGTAGGACTTGAACCAGTGCTCATGTGGGATGCCAGCAGTGCAGGCAGATGCTTAACCTTCTGTACCACAGCGCTGCACACACACACACACACACACACACACACCCATAAGCTTTTTGAAGTGCCCCGGTGTCTACAGTTTCCTTCCCGTGAACAGTCACACGTTATATACCGTGAGGGGTGTGTCCCAAGACACACATGCGTCATTTAGCGATTTCCTCATTGGACAGGCGCAGCCAGAAGGTAAGGCCAGTTACTCAGGGCAGCCTCTTGATGAGGCCAGGATAGCTGCGGTGCAGTAGGTCTGCTTACCCAGGGTCCTCACGTAGTGATGTGTTCCACGGCGACGTCGCTAGGCGACAGACCTTCCCAGGCCGGCTGTGAGGTGACAGTTCCCGGCTGTAAACACGCAGCTCCTCCTTGCCTGAGACACGATGCGGCTCCCGAGTGCACCGTCTTGGGTCGCCTGTGTGCTGTTGACATGTTTAAAAGGATTGACATCCTTGAAAGGCATAATGCTCGTGAGAGAAGGGTGTTCCGGGTGCTGATTCCACTCCCCAGACACCTGCCAACAGCTAGGGCTGGGCCAGGCCAAAGTCGGGAGCCAGGAACTCCAGTCTGGTCTCCGGCGTGGGTGGCAGGGCCCGAGGCACTTGGGCCAACATCTGCTGCTTTCTGTGTCGCCAGCCCCAAGACCGTGGATTGAACACATTTCTCACTGAAAATTTCGAGAAGCTTCTATCCAAAAGAGTCCGGATGTCCTATCAGGAAAAGGTTAGGAAGTGCTGTGTTGAGACGCCAGCAGGTGTCCTGAAGCTGTGAGGGCGGCTAAGCACAAAATTGAGGCTCGTGGTGGCCTCTGAGGAGGGAAGGACACACACAGGACTCTCAAAGTAATAGTAGTGTTCTTGAATGAGATGGTGTGCACGCAGGTTGTTTTTTTTTTTGTTTGTTTGTTTTTTTTTTAAACATTAGGCGCTGAGGTGCAGCAGGTTGGGCTACAGCCTGCAGTCCGGCGTCCCACGTGGGCACTGGTTCAGGTCCCGGCTGTTCCACTTCCAATCCAGCTCTCTGCTATGGCCTGGGAAAGCAGTGGAAGACGGCTCCCATGCTTGGGCCCCTGCACTCACGAGGGTTCATTCCCCAGATGGCCACAACAGCCAGGACTGGGCGAGGCCAAAGCCAGGAGCCTGGCACGCCATCTGGGGCTCCCATGTGGGTGGCGGGGGCCCACATACCTGAGCCATTCTTCGCTGCTTCCCCAGGCGCATCAGCAGGGAGCTGGGGCTTCAGCTGACACTCTTCTCTAGGCTGCTTCTGCCCCAGGCAGTGGCTGAACCGCCGTGCCACAGTGCCGGCCGGAGCCACGCGTGTGTTTTTATCCGTGCCCATGTTTGATCTGTAATTCATGAATACTTTTGTGCCTGGGTAACATTGAATCCGCTCTGTTAAAATGAAAGCCTGCTGTTTGTAAGCCCTGCAGGATGTCTGGCCTTTCTCGTTGGTTACACCTGGTTAGTTTGGTGTACCTGCTACACCGTGGCAGGTGGCCCAGTACCTCTCACACGCTTAGGACAGCAGCAGCCCCCAGGATCTAATAATGTTATCTTGAGGGTAACAGCCGAGAAGCAGGGAGTCGAGGAGGTGGGGGAAAAACGGGCGAGCCTGGTCCCCTCTGCTAAAGCTAGACTTCCTGTCCCTGGGAGGGAACTCGGGCCCTGAGCAGTCAAGGAGCGCTGTGGCCTCTTGCTCCAACCCCGCACAGTGGGTGACGTCCTCTGTCCTGCAGAGGCAGGACAGCCGTGTGCCTTGCCTGGCACATGTCATGGTCAGGAATAGGGGCCCCTTGGAGTCCTGCTGTGTTACCTCTGAGTAGGAATTAGAAGCGGTGCGGCGCCCCCTGGTGGGCAGCACCGGTGAGGGAGGTGGGGTGTGGCGTACAGGTGGAGTTAACGTACACAGGGACTCCTTTTCACTGGGGGCTGCGTCCGCAGTGGCCCGCACGGCCTCCCGCTGAGAGAGGGCGAGATGGAGAAGCCATGGCGAGGTCTCGTTAGCGGGCAGAGCGCCTGCAGGACCCCCGGCAGGCAGGCATGCAGGCAGCCAGGTTCCTTCGTGCGAGCGGCGCTGGTTCCTGCGGGGCGCTCCTGACGTTGCACGCTGGGCACTTCGCTGCCTGGTGAGAGCGCCGCTCACCTTCCCCGCTGGTCCTTGCCAGGCCTGGATGAATGAGAAGTTTGCCCCTGAGCTGCTGGAGAGCAAGTGTGAGATCTTGGGTCCCTCCGGAGCACCTGGCCCCCATGTTTACCTCCGGGGGGGGGGGGGGGGGCGGGCGAGCAGAAAGCTGCGGTAGAGCACAAAGCCTGGAAGCAGCGGGAAGCGAGCTTCCGGTGCAAGGCCTAGACCCCCGCCACCCGCCACCCCAGCCCCACAGCCCTGCCTGAGCGGGTGAGGCCACCCTGGGCCTGGGCGTCGCTCGCTAGCCGCCGGAGTGCCTTGTGATGTTCCGGCAGGTTTGTTTGTTTGAAGATTTATTTATTTAAAAGGCAGAGTTATAGAGAGAGCGGGTGGGAGAGGTCTCCCACCCGCAGATTCACTCCAAATGGCCAGGGCTGGACTAGACCCAAGCCAGGATCCCAGAACTTTGTCCAGGTCTCCCACTTGGCTGCAGGGGCCCAAGGACTTGGGCCGTCTTCTGTTGCTCTCCCAGGCACGTTAGCAGGAAGCTGGATTGGAGTGGAGCAGCCAGGCCTTGAACTGGGGCCCGTATGGGATGCCAGCATCACAGGAGGGGGTTTACCCTGGGCCGCAGCGCCGCCCCCTCAGCTGGTGTGTGCGGCTGCTGTTTCGGGTCCTTAGACGTCCCCTGCAGTGTGCTGCATTATCCTTACGATTGAATGGCAGTCAGTCATTTCAGAACAGCAAATGAGTATTTCTTGAACTTTATATAGTCATGCATGGGGGGGGGATTTATTCTTATCTATTTATTTGGAAGGCAGAGAGACAGAGAGAGAGAGAGACCTCCATCTACTGGGTCACTCCCCGAATGCCTGCAAGAGCCAGGGCCAGCCCAGGAGCCAAGAAGTTCTTCCAGGTCCCCTGCATGGGAGGCAGGGAGCCAGGTGCTTTGGCCACCACCTGCGTCCCAGGTGCCTCGGCGGCGGAGGGGAGACTTGGTCCCAGCCACTCCAGTCTGGAGGCGGCATCCCGAGAGCAGCTCAGTCCTGTGTTCTTTGTGTGATTACAACATCAGCAGGGAACGAGAGCTCCCGCGAGAGTTTCTGGCTTGCCCTTGACTCGGACAGAACCCTCGAGCCTGCCACACTGCCGGCGACTCAGCCCTTGGACTTAAACGTTGTGTTTCTTATGAACGTCGGCTTCTCTTTGCGTAGGAGAGCAATCTCAGGAGAGCCCCGAAGGGGGACCTGAAGGTTAGCATCCACCGGATGGAGCTGGAGCGGATCCGCTACGTGCTCAGCAGCTATCTACGGTGCCGACTCACGAAGGTGGGGCCTGGGGCCGCCTGCGCAGACCGCGTGTGTCCTGGGGAGCCGCTGGCTGGGGGCCCAGGGCCGGAGATGCCGCTGAGAGCCCCTGTCGGGGTAGCTGGGGGGGCAGGGGCCGGGGGTTCATGTGGGCAGCCTAGGTGGTATGCGTGTGTTAACACAACCCTGGGGACTCCGTCTGCATCTTCAGGCCGTGCATCTGAAAGGTGGGTGCTGCCCTCTAGAGCCGCAGTGCGGGCAGAGTGTGCACTGGTTACACAGGGAATACTGGCCAGAGGAGACCTAGTTTCAAACATCGTCTCGCCTCCGTCAGATGGACAACGTCAGTGTCGTGGGCCATGATAACTTGATATTCTGCCACAGCTCTGTGGCCATGTAACTTAAAAAATGAAGTCATGAGCTTTTTTTTTTTTTTTTTTTAAGATTTATTTATTTGGAAGGAAGAGTTAGAGGGATCTTCCATCCATTAGCTCACTCCCAAACTGGCCACAGCAGTTGGGGCTGGGCCAGGTCAAATCCAGGAGCCTAGAATTTCATCCAGGTCTCCAGCCTGGATGGCAGAGGCCCAGGCACTTGGCCCATCCTCTGCTGCTCTCCCAGGCACAGTAGGGAGCTAGATAAGAAGTGGGGCAGCTGGGGCTGGTGCTCTGGCATAGCGGTAAAGCCACCACCTGCAGTGCCGGCATCCCATATGGGCGCTGGTTTGAGTCGCGGCTGCTCCTCTTCCAATCCAGCTCTCTGCTGTGACCTGGGAAAGCAGTGGAAGATGGCCCAGGTCCTTGGGCCCCTGCAGCTGCATGGGAGACCTGGAAGAGGCTCCTGGTTCTTGGCTTCAGATCGGCGCAGCTCTGGCTGTTGCAGCCATTTGGGGAGTTAACTGGCAGGTGGAAAGTTTCCTCTCTCTCTCTGCCTCTTCCTTTCAAATAAAATAAATTGTTTAAAAAGAAAATAAAGATAAACTTCATCTCTTAAATTTCATCTTAGTGAACCGGGCCACCTGGTTTCTGGATCCTGATCCTGTCACGTAGCGTCAGCCGTCTCTTACTACTTTGTCCTCAGCAGTTTCCGTATGCGCCCGTGGCACAGGTATTCACCAGCCGCTTCCCTGCAGAGGGACACCTGTCCTCCGAAAGATGTGCTTGTTCAGCCGTTTAGGAGTCTTCTCGGTTACGTTCACCACCCAGCCCCAGGTGTACGGTTTGTCCACAAGCCGGTCACAAAGACGTGTTTTGTTTTTTAAAGATTTATTTATTTATTTGAAAGTCAGAGTTACACAGAGAGAGGAGATGCAGAGAGAAAGAGAGATCTTCCATCCACTGGTTCACTCTCCAGTTGGTCACAACAGCCAGAGCTGTGCCGATCTGGAGCCAGGAGCTTCTTCCCGGTCTCCCACGTAGGTGCAGGGCCCAAGGACTTGGGGCATCCTCCACTGCTTTCCCAGGCCATAGCAGAGAGCTGGATCGGAAGTGGAGCAGCCAGGACTTGAACCAGTGCCCGTGTGGGATGCCGGCACTGCAGGGCAGGGCTTTAACCCGCTATGCCACGGTACTGGCCCCTCCAGTCTTGAAAGGCAGGGAATTGGCTGAGCTTTCAGACCTCTGCCAAACTTAGTAACGCTCCCTGGGGACGGTGAGCCGTAGCAATGTACATGCAACAGGAGAAAGCGCTGTGTAAACTGAACGCTTCACACAGATGCTGATGGGGTTGGTCCGCGTCAGAGACTCAACACTCCTTCCTTTCAGACAGGTGCCGCTCTGTGTGGCCCTCAGTTCTGCCTGCCGCCGTCATTTCCTCCCTTCCCAGGGACACTGCCCTCAGCAGACAGCGCTGATGCCACAGGCCAGGCCCTCCTGTTCCTCCAAACCCACACAGGCCAGGCCCTCCCGGTTCCTCCAAACCCATCTCTTCTTGGCTTTTACGTTGCAATGTGGGGTTTTCTGGTAGTGCTGAGCGTTTTTCCCCTGAGCCTCCTCTCATCCTAAGCTTCACCTTTGCTGGTTATCGTCTCCTCGTTCAAGGTCATTATCACCTGCGCTTGTGTATCCCATGTTCATCTGCCAGCGTTTATGTGTGTCCAGCACCTAGAAGAGCATCCCGGTCAAGTCTAAAAATCCCTCATCTTCCTCCCACCGCCACGTCCGGCTGGGCTTGCAGATTCTGCTTTCCTGGCCCCTTCTGGGGTCTTGTCTTTGCTCCGGGCCCAGGGAACCCTGCCTCCTCAGTCGCAGGCCCTGCTCCTGGGGGAGCGCCGTGGCCCTGGGGATTGGCCACTCCCAGGATGGGCTCGGCCTCGCTCGGAACGCCAGCGTCTCTGACCCGGCGTCCTGACCGGCACTCCCACAGGCCCTCCCTCCGCTTGTCCTCACAGATAGAGAAGTTCTTCCCACACATCCTGGAGAAGGAGCAGGCGCGGCCCGAGGGGCAGCCGTCCGGCCTGTCTCTGGAGGAGCTGGTCTTCGCCAAAGAGTGAGTGAGCGGGATGGGCGCTCCCTTCCCGGGAGGCCCCGGGCCCCCGCCCTGGGCCTGACAGCCCCGGGCTTCCTGCCGCCGGCCGTGTGTCGCAGGTACCTGGCTAACACAGAGGCCTACCTCAGAAACGTCGCCTTAAAGCATATGCCGCCCAACCTGCAGAAGGTGGACCTCCTGAGGGCAGGTGAGCGGGGCGGGGGAGGGTGCCTGATTCCTGTGTCCCACGTGGACGCAAGGATGGGGGTCAGCAGAGAAGAGGAGGGGGCGCTTCTGTCAGAAACACACGGGCGCTGTGTCCCTGCGCTTGGGTGCGCCCCTGTGACCGCCCTTGTGTTTGCTGTCCACCCTCCCGCACCTGCTCTGGGCACTACAGAGATCCGAAGGGTCCTGTGTGGCCTCTGCTCCCCAGGGCTTGGCTGCCTTCTCAGACTGCAGGACACGCGGGGACTGTGTCGCCTCTAGTAGCAATGACTCCCCGCTTCTTGGGAGATTTTCCTCTCGGCAGGGAAGAGGGAGCAGGACTGAGTGTGGGAGGAGAAAGGGGATGTAGCCAGGGCACGGCAGCTTGGCCAGGCCTCTGCCTCGGGCCCTCCTGGAGTCCCCCAGCTGAGGAAGGGAGTTGCGGGAACAGCCCTGACCTTGGAGAGCCAACAGGGCCATGTGGCCTGCAGGCTGAAGCCCGTACCCCGTCTTTTACCAACTTCGTGTCCAATCAAGGCCTCACCAGGCCACATCTGGCGGAACTCTCAGACACCGGGATCCTCTCTGTTCACCGCTGAGCTCTGGGGTTGCTCGGGGCCCATCCTGGTGTGGGGGGAGGCGGGGGCCCCCTGTGGCCAGGAGCAGCATCTTGGGTCCACGGTCAGGTGCCCGCAGACTCGGTGTCTGTGTCCCTGGGATGGTGACCGCCTCCGTGTGTCCTCAGGCAGCAGTAGCGGAGAGGCACACCTGCGCCTGTGACAGGGCTGCGTGCCCCTCGGGACACGGTCGTCACGCACTTGGCCCCCATCCTGACGGCCTCATTCTGGCTTCATTACCCCTTTAAGCCTTGTCTCCAGAGATACCCTCCCAATCTGAGGTCCTGGGCGTTGAGGCCACTTCAGGGGACGCGTGGTAGCCGTCCCAGGGAGCAGGCCAGAGCCCTGCAGACGGGACCTAAAGGCCAGCCAAGCGCAGTTCATACCTTAGGGGCTGGGAGCGGGGCAGGTAGCTTGACCCTTTGCGCTGCTGTCTCGCCCACGGAGTCGGATGAAGAGCAGGCCGGTGCGTCCCTGGGTCCAAGGCCCTAGCACTGAAGCCCACGCACCCCTTGTGCAGGCTCCCAGGAAGCTGCGCGTTGAGACGAGCCTGCCCTCAGGAGGCCAGGCCTGTCCCGTGTCCCAGCAGGGCTACCAGGCCACCTGCGACCCGCGTGACAGCATGTGCTGTCGTGACGTCATGACTAGGATGTGAGTGCAGTTACAGTGAGACACTTAGAGACCTACTTGTATTGTGCTGTATTGTTGCAACTGTTACACCGTGTTAATCTCCCACGGTAGCTGTTCATCAGTTAAGCTTTGGTGTAGGTATGAGCGTCTAGGTGGTATACGTGGGTGTACGCCCACAGCTGCAGGCATCCCCTCGGGGGTCGAGGGCTGATGAGGGCTGACGAGCACTGGCCGTTTGTTGGGCTGTGAAGTCTTTGGAGCCGGATGCTGTGGCATTATCCAGGGCCCCTGCCCGCAGCGGCTCTGCCTGCGTGGGCCGGGCCAGCCAGGCGTCCTCTGCTCACTGCCTTGTCTCTGGTAGTTCCCAAACCTGACCTGGATTCCTACGTGTTTCTGAGAGTGAAGCAGCGACAGGAGAACATCCTGGTAGAGCCCGAGACCGACGAGCAGAGGTGAGTGCCTCTCCGCAGCGGGGAGGGCCCCCCCTCCCCCTCCCCCGGGGAGCAGCCGGCTCTGGGCGTGACCGCTGTCCCGCCTCTTCCAGGGACTACGTCATCGACCTGGAGGAAGGCTCGCAGCACCTGATCCGATACAAAACCATCGCGCCTCTGGTCGCTTCTGGAGCCGTGCAGCTCATTTAAAACCGGAAGTCCACGGGCGTGGAGCCGTGGGGCCTGGGCGAGGGAACAGCAGGAGCCCTCATCTCACTCTGTGCCCTGTGCCCGGGGACGCAGTGGCAGAAGTGCCCAGTCTGTCCTGGGCGATGAAGACAGGCCCCGCAGTACTGCCTGCCTGCCATTCCGGCCGGGACCAGCAGAGGGGGCCCTAGCTCCGTGTCATGCGCCCTTCCCTCTGCGGCGCTCTGAGCGCAGGGCAGCGGGCGGGGGCTGCGCCTGACCCCCGGGGCTTCAGGTGTGCAGCAGGAGGCCCCGGGCCAGCGGCGCTCAGCCTGCGTGCGCTCCCCGCGGGCGACCTGCGGCCCTCGCCCAGCCCCCCACCCCCGTCCACGGGCTCCCGTGTGCGCGCCTCGGCAGCCCTCCGCTTTCTCAGGGGGGTCTCGCAGCGCCTGCGGCCAGCGAAGCAGGGACGGTTCCGTGGGGCGTGGTGGAGAGCCCCCGCTTGTCCGTCTCTTGCCTGCTGGAGTCGTGGTCATTTCCTGAGACAGGCGGGGGGTGCTGGGGGATATGGCGCTCACTGCCAAGACAAACCTAGAGGAGCGCGAAGGTGTTCACTAATAAACACATTGATACCCCTGTGGTGCCTGGGGCCGGCCAGTGCTTTCACCCCGTTCATGTGTCCAGCAAACGCAAGCGTGCGCCCGGCAGAGGGAGCTGGACGTGCCGGTCACAGCGCAGAGTAAGAGCACAGGCAGTGGGCAGGCGGTGACTCGCAGGGAACTCCCCAGGAAGCTTCTAGAGCTGTGTGGCCCGGGAGGGTCTTACCTCTTCAGTGGTGTTCAGTCCGGGGTCTGAGCAAGGGCTGGGCCTGCAGGATCACCAAGGAAGGCATTTCAGGCGGAGAAGACGGCTGTGCAAAGGCCCTGGGGCAGAAACGAGCTCTGGCCAGCAGGGCCCACCCAAGGTGGGACTTGGACGACCAAGGATTGTGCTTGGTCCTCCCAGCAGCTGTGTCTTGGCTGGGACTGTGTAACAGCCGGGAAATAGGAGGTACTTAATGCCAAGTCTGAGATTGGAACCCAGGTCTGCAGTGTGGCACCAAGCAGCCAGGAGAGGCCTGTGCCGTCCTCTGCGTCATGTGCCCGGCCATCACCTGGAGGCCATGTTCCACTGTAATCGTGACTCAGGAGCGGGCCCGGAAGCCCCGAACCCCCAGGCTGGGAGTCGCTGCTGGTCCGGGAAGCTCTGTGTGGGTGCTGGGCGTTCCGTCCCCACGTCCCTCGCCTGTGCTGGGGCACACAGGCGGCACCCTGCCCACCCCGCAGCGAGTGGCTCTGTTTCCTGTTCACTCCTGGCTGTGTGCTGTTGTTGCCTAAAGGGGAACTGCGTTTCAAAGCCACGAGAGGAGGCAAATGCTGTGTCTGGCTGACACTGCTTTCAGCCTTCTCAGCTCGCGCCGTGTGGCTCGGCCGTTACCGCACCGTGGGCAGCACGGGAACTGCGGCAGCCGCGGTCACACGCGTCCCTGGCACACAGCCCCTCCGAGTGCTGCTCACTGGGTCCACGTCGGGCTCGTCCCAGCGTGATGACAGCTGCCTTCTCCGACACGCGGAGTTGGCCAAAAGCTTGCGGAGTGAATTTTTACGCAACATCATACACTGATTCTTCACAGGATGCTCCTTAAGCGATTTGTCTTGGGAAGCTAAACATTCCGCACATTTAGAATTCAAGGATTGATTTTTTTTTTTACTGTATCTGATCAACTAGCTGTAAAAATATCCCTAAAATGTCAAAAAATTTCATTTTTAAAAAAAATAGCCAAGTCCAGTGGAGGATGGCCCAAGTGCTTGGGCCCTGCACCCACATGGGAGACCAGGAGGAAGTGCCTGGCTCCTCGCTTCAGATCGGCGCAGTGTGCCAGCCGTGGCGGCAATTGGGGGGTGAACCAACGGAAGGAAGACCTTTCTGTCTCTCACTAACTGCCTGTCAAAAAAAAAAAAAAAATAGCCAAGTCAGTATATTGTGGTTTAACAGATCTGGCCTCTTTTTTTCTTTTTTTTAATTTATTTATTTACTTGAAAGAGTTACACAGAGAGGAGAGGTAGAGAGAGAGAGAGAGGTCTTCCATCTGCTGGCTCACTCCCGACATGGCTGCAACAGCCAGAGTTGTGCTGATCCAAAGCCAGGAGCCAGGAACTTCTTCCGGGTCTCCCACATGGGTGCAGGGCCCAAGGACTTGGATCATTTTCCACTGCTTTCCCAGGCCACAGCAGAGAGCTGGGTTGGAAGAGGAGCAGCCAGGACTTGAACCAGCGCCCATATGGGATGCCGGCACTATAGGTGGTGGGTTTACCCACTACGCCACAGCGCTGGCTGGCCCCGGGAGGGACTGTTTTAAGCCTCCTAAGGGAGGTACACCTTGGGACTCCGAGTTGTTCCCGGCTTGAATATAAAGGTTTTAGACTTCAGGTTACTGCTTTGTTGTCTCTGACCCTATCGTCGTTCTCAGTGGTATTTCTGACATGTCACTGCCTCTTAAAAAGCCTCAGTGTTTGCTCTCTACCTGCCGAAGAGGAAGGCGAGAAGGAAGTTTGCTGTTTTATTGAGCACCTGTGTTCTGGGCAGTGGACACATTACTCTCCGTCAGTTTACTTCATTCGCTCCCCCAGAACGCCACGAGGTAGGCACTCTATCACGCCCAGGCCTGACCAAGGCTGCCTTTCCCTTTCCCCAGAGGGTGTCCATTCTCCTTTTTAAACCTAGTTCTGGATCCGGTGCTGTGGCATCACAGGTAAAGCCACCGCCTGCAGTGCCGGCATCCCATATGGGCGCTGGTTCGAGTCCCAGCTGCTCCACTTCCGATCCAGCTCTCTGCTATGGCCTGGGAAAGCAGTGGAGGATGCCCCAAGTCCTTGGGCCCTGCACCTGTGTGGGAGACCCAGAAGAAGCTCTTGGCTCCTGGCTTTGGATCAGCCCAGCTCTGGCTATTGCGGCCAACTGGGGAGTGAAACAGTGAATGGAAGACCTCCCTCCCCCTCTCACTCTCCCTCCCTCTTCTCCTCCACCTCCCTCTACCTCTACCTCTACCTCTGCCTCTCTGTAACTTTGCCTTTAGAATAAATAAATAATTTTTTAAAAAGTGGAACAGCTGGGTCTTGAACTGGTGCCCATATGGGATGCCAGTGTTGCAGGTGGAGGCTTAGCCTGCTGTGCCATATCCACACACACACACACCCCGCTTCCATCTAATGCAGACCCTGGGCAGCAGTGCTGATGGTCCCTGCCGCACACAACAGAGTCCTGGTTGTTCTTAGCTCTTGGCTCTGCCCCAAGCCCACCCCAGCTATTGCAGGAATCTGGGGCATGAACCATGAGACGGACAATCTTTGTCTGTCTCTACATCTTAAGTGTTTAATTTTTTAACTTATGATGGCTTTATTTCTGGAATTTTCCATGGCTTCAGACTGTGGTCGACTGAGAACAGAAAGTGAAACCATGGGAAAAGGGAGACTACTGTACTCTATTTCCAACTGACTGTTTTTTTCAAAGATTGATTCATTTATTTGAAATCCCAGGTACAGAGAGGGAGCAACAGAGAGAGAGAGAGAATCTCGCATCTGCCGGCTCACTCTCCAAGTGGCCACGTGGCCAAAGGCCAGAGCCAGGAGCCCAAGCGCTTGTGGCATCTCTCTTAGCAGGGAGCTGTATTGGAAATGGGGCAGCCGGGACTCAAACAGGAACCCATAGAGGATGCTGGCCTCCTAGGCGGCGGCTTCACCCGCTGTGCCACAACACCGGTCTCTCTCCTGGATCTTAAACATTGGCCAGTCCTGGATGTGTGTGTTTCTTTCTCATTAGCCTGTTAGTTTGTGCTAGGTCAAAAATCACGCGAATTGCATTGCTGGACATTTTAATCTTAACTTTACATAACTAAATAATTATATATTTATGTCATATACATATATGTCATAATTTTTTTAAAGATTTATTTATTTATTTGAAAGAGTTACACAGAGAGAGGAGAGGCAGAGAGAGAGAGATCTTCCATCTGCTGGTTCACTCCCCAACTGGCCGCAACGGCCGGAGCTGTGCTGATCCGAAGCCAGGAGCCAGGAGCTTCCTCCTGGTCTCCCATGTGGGTGCAGGGGCCCAGGGACTTGGGCCATCTTCTACTGCTTTCCCAGGCCACAGCAGAGAGCTGGATTGGAAGTGGAGCAGCTGGGACTTGAACCGGCGCCCACGTGGGATGCCAGCGCTGCAGGCGGCGGCCCCCTGCTGCTCCATTTCTAATCCAGCTTCTGCTAGTGTGCATGGTGGGAGGCAGCGAATGACGGCCCAAGTGTTCGCCACCTGTGAGAGAGACTTGCATTGAGTTCTGCCAAACTACTCTTTTTTAAAAAAGATTTATTTAAATGAAAGGCAGAGAGAGATTATCTCCCAATTGGCTTACTCCCCAAATAGCTGCAACAGCCAGGGCTGGGCCAGGCTGAAGCCAGGAGCCTGGAGCTCCATCCGGGTCTCCCACGTGGGTGCAGGGCCCAAGCAGTTGGGGCCGTCTTCCACTGCTTGCAGGTGCATTGGCACGGAGCTGAATGTGAAGCTGGGACTCAAACCAGCATTCTGATACGGAATGTGCGCGTCCCAAGCAGTGGCTTAACCTGAGCACTGCAACACCTGCCTCTACTTCCTGATAAATTTTTTTTTTAATTTATTTGAGAGGCTGAGACAGAGACAGAAAGTGTGTTCCTCCACGGGCTCACTCTCCAGTCCCACAGCAGCAGGGCTGGGCCAGCTGGGAATACAATCCGAGTCTCTCATGTGGGAGGAAGCCGATGAGCCAAGCTGTCCCCGCTGCCTCCCACAGTCTGCACTGGCAGGAAACCGGAGTCAGGAGCCAGAGGCGGGGATTGAACCCCGGGCACGCCGGCATGCGAGGTGGCCATCTTAACCACCAGGCTCAACGTCCCCTCCCAAACTGCTTTTCTAAGTGTAAGCGCACCCAGGATACAAGGACCAAACAGAAAAGTGACAGAGAAAACCAAAAACAATTTTCTTTCAATTTTTTTAAGTCTATAGCACCTGTCATTTCCAGGCAGTCTCCCATCCAAGTACTAACCAGGCCCGACCCAGCTTGGCTTCCGAGACCAGATGAGATCAGGCAGGTTCAGGGTGGTATGACTAGAATTTTTTATGAAAAAGAAAGACACCTGTATTGCGTCATGAAGAGCATGGGCCATCAAAGAAGCTGATAGAAGCTTCTTTTAAAAGGCGTGGTCTTTGGGGAGGCATTGTGGCGCGGTAGGTTAATCCTCTGCCTGTTGGACTGGCATCCCATATGGGCACTAGTTCAGTACTGGCTGCTCCACTTCCAATCCAGCTCTCTGTTGTGGCCTGGGAAAGCAGTGGAAGATGGCCCAAGTGCTTGGGCCCATGCACCCATGTGGGAGACCTGGAAGAAGCTCTTGGCTCCTGGCTTCAGATCAGCTCAGCCCCAGCTGTTTTGGCCATTTGGGGAGTGAACCAGTGGATGGAAGACCTTTCTCTCTGTCTCTCCCTCTCACTGTATGTAACTCTACCTCTCAAGTAAATAAATAAAATCTTAAAAAAAAAAAAAAAGCCATGGTGTTGGAAACACCA